ACCCTAAACCCTAAACCCTAAACCCTAAACCCAGATTTTCTGGAACTCGCAGAGCCAGAAAGCCGAGGTCCTCACCCCGGAAACCGGTTTAGGGTTTAGGGCCTAGAAAACAAGACACCAACACGCTCAAGGAAGGACAAGATCCTAAACCCCTAAACTTAAACCCTAAACCCTAAACCCTAAACCCTAAACCCTAAACCCTAAACCCTAAACCCTAAACCCTAGCCGTGCAGTCCCAAAGCCCTGAGCCCGGAAAATGCGTAATTGCGCTTTGCTGGTTCCGAGAAATACTGAGTGGTTACTGGTGTTCGGGGGTTTGGGGGTATAGTATGGTATGCTTACTATTGCAAATACAGGGGCTATAAAAGGATACTGCTCAGACTGACAGCCGTAGCATGGGCATCCAGGTCGCCTTTGGGGCTAAGGGAGATCGGACTTCCCAAGGTTCCAACGTGTGTGGGTGGCGATGGAGGCTTCTTGTGCTTAGAGAGACCTTTTGGGTCCACAACCCTAGGCCCTAGAACCCTAAGGGCTGAGACCCTAGCCCAAAAAAAAGGTTAACCTTTTCAATTATAGTAGGATTAAAGGAAAACCCAAAATGTTACGGGTTACCTGCTCAGCCACTAAGAGTAGGGTTAAAGGTTACCTACTCAGCCACTAAGAGACCCCTCACTGAACTCCACCTTACGGAGTTTAGGAGAGGAGGACCTAGCTTAGAGTGGTACAAAATCTCACGGCTCTGATGCGGAAGCTTAATGTGCAGGCACACTTGGGCCATGCGCCGTGTAAACATTGAGCCCCAAGACCTCAAGCACCACCCAAGACACCCCTTCCCAAACTTAAACCCAGAGCCAAATTTGACACCCAAAGCTCTAATTGGGAGAGATAGCAAAACCCCGTTGTGTACGGACTCCCTTTGCATCGGGAACTCCGCCTGATCCAGAAACATCGGAAGCAAAGCCCCCCTAAACCGAACCCCACAACCGCCTCAAAAACTACCCTCAACCCTAAGCCCAAAAGTTCCCCTAAACCCTAAATCCTACACCCAAAACCCTAAACCCTAAACTCCCCTAAACCCTAAACTCGGAACCCCGAATTCCCCCTAAACTAAACCACATAAAAGCTCGAACCTTCAAGCTGCCCCTGTAGCCCCGAAGCCAAAACCCCCATAGGGTTTAGAACCCCCCGCCTCCCGCAGTATAGACGCCTGAATGGTGAGCCATGTCATGTACGCCTCCCTACCCCCTAACCCTATTGTCATGATTAAGGCGCGTTTCTGCACCTAAACAAACCGCACGCCCCAAACACCAAACCCTGCACCTAAACCCGGATACCCCCTTAAACCCTAAACCCTAACCCCTAAATCCTAAAGCCTAAACCCTAAACCCTAATCCCTAAACCCACACCCAAACAAAAACCGCAGCAGCTCCCAAAATCCCAACAGAACGCGCGAATGCACCCGGCCTGGTCCAAGGCACGCCTGAAGAGGGTTTAGGGTGTAGGGCTTAGGGCTTAGGGTTTAGGGTTTAGGGTTTAAGGTATAGTTTTTCTCTTTCTGAGATTTCGTGTTTGAAGTTTCGCGTTTTCGTACTAGAAATGTTATTCATATGTTTATCGCTATCACTAGTAGCTGCTATGATTGTTACTCTTATTTCTGTTGTTATTAGTACTATTGTTTTCCTTCATATGATTAGTATGAACGGTATCGATACTTTCATTGTGTTTTAATGACCTTCTCAGTATGATCACTCTCATCGTAGGCTTTTCATGCAAACCTTTAGTGGACCCCTTGGATTCCGGCATGCGGCTAATGATGTTCCAACTTTCTTGCTTCTACTGTATGTATGCTTGCCTTTGGTGCGTCCTTTGCTAGATAGGATAAGGGTCATCTTAGGGTTTAAGGTTTGGGATATTGGGTTTACGGTTTAGGATCATATCAGGATATTTTCGGATTATATGGGAAAGTGATGGGAATTCTCGTTCGATCAAACCTGGAGGACGGCTGCGTGCGTCCTTCAGGGTTTACTAAACGCTGGGCCCTCCTAATGTAGGAGCCTTAATAGTTTCAATAGGGTTTTGTGGTATTCTATAATATAGTTATATTAAAGGAACCCCCCAAAACAGTATAGGTAATTATGAAGGCCCCTATGTTAGCTCGGCGTCTTGGGGTCTAGGTTTCAGGAGTCCAGGGTTTACGGTGCAGGGTTTCAGAGTCTAGGCTGCATTCTGGTTTGTTTCACTTAGGTTCCAAAGCTCAGGTTTGTGGTGTAGTGAGCCCTACACCCTGCAATCGTGAACACTAAACTCCTCCAATCCGAAACCCGTTGAGCCTTACACCACCAAAAAGAAGAGATCCCTATTAGGGTTCCCTCGTCACAGGACATTGGGGTCTCACCGACTCAACTGTCTTTTTGGGCTATTATGATGGTAGATGCCACGTCCTAAGACCCAAGTCATAAACCCTCAACATAAGCCCGTGATTTTTTTAAAGTTGAAGTACACACCTTTCGGCTTCAGGTTTAGGGTTAAGGGTTCAGGGTTTGGGGTTTAGTGATTTCAGGCTCGGCCAGCATGGACGATCTAAGCATAAGCCGCACATTTGCAAACCGAGTGGCTGCTGATCTCTGATCCTGGGCTTTGAAGTAACCAGGGAGACAAAAGTATAGACTTTTATTTCATAATGGTTCCTTTAAGGAACAGGTCCCCAAAAAAACTATGAAAGTATGGTACTCCAAGTCCAAAGCCCAGGATCTGTTTCATCTTCTCGGCCCGCGAGCTGTACAGCGATGCCGAGGTTCCCTGCGCTGCATCCTGGCCAAGTTCCCCGAAACCATAAACCCCTAATGTAGGGGCCTTGAGAATTAGAATAGGGTTTTGGTGGTTTCTTATTACAAATATAGTATAACATACCCCAAACCATTAAGGCTCCTATACTACCCCTTCCTGCTACACCCTACACCCAAACTACTCAGTAAACCTCAAGCCTTTCTGCGGAAAAAAGGTCGTGGATCTCAAGGTTTGGACCTGGGGCATTTGGAACAGAGGAGATGTGAAGGTGAGCCCCCGACATATGACGCTGATTCCAAGGACCATCCAAAACACAGCAAAACCACTTGTTCTACGAAGCCAGTGCAAAGGTGAGCATAATGATGTCCGGACAGTCCGGATAAAGCCTAAATTGAAACCATGTAAGCCCTTTTCGACGGGCCCCGCCAAAACCCTACACAATCCCGAAAACCCCTGAGCAACCCAGGCCACTCGGTCCCGTGTTCGAGCTCCATGATTACGGAAACAACGAAAAGAAAGGAGGCCTTATCGCCATCTTCCGCACCAGCTTCGGCGTCGGCTTCCTGCATCAAGTGTGCGGGAATGGAATCCAGCGACAGTGCTCAATTTCTATTGCTGTTGTTACTGGACGCTCATTACGACAAAATCTATAAGCGTTATACACATATTAGTACCACTAGCAAAATTTTGGCTAAGATACTGCTTGCAAAGATTGCACAACGACAAGTCTTCCTGCAGCGACGCTCACTATCGGCTTGTCTGCCAGGCCTTTTCTTCTTCCTTCTCCTCTTTCTTATCCATCATGAAACGCTGATTTTGGGTGGTAGCGTAAATTGTTTGCCGTCGAAATGATATGTGATGCACTGCAGCTGCAAGTACAAAGCTAGTTATGAGCTGTTCACAAAGTTGAAGTCACGGCCCCTAAACCCTAAACCCTAAGCTGACGTGAAACTGCACATGCTGGGATGCTCGGAGCTTGGGCCAAAGCAGCCAAAGTCACCTGCAACAGGCCAGAAACACAGACAATCTTGGATGTGCATGTGGGTAGCTTTCAAAATTAGGGTCCCTTTTAGGGTACCCTAAATAATAGGTGCCGTACTATAATAAGGACCCAAAAAGGGACCCTAATTTTGACAACCACCTATGTGGGCAAGAGCTTGCAACCTGCAGGTTCGTGCGCAAGCCCTACCCTGCTTTTGACCCTTGACATCGACGCTATCGTTTGTCTAATTTTTTCGGATTACAGCATTTACAAGACATTTTTGGATTTACGACATGCAAGAACATGCGAACAAGACTGTAAGATTGCGCTGAAAGTTGAAATGCCGTCAGTCGAAATGAAGCAGAAAACAAATCAAACATCAAACTTTAGGAGGACTGTGCGGAATAGGTCGCGTCGCTTGTTCATGCACCGCCACTGCTGCCAGCCTTGCTGGCATCCATATGGCTGTGATAAAAAAGCCACGTGATTGCGTTTTCGGTCAAATGTGGTTTGGACCTGTCTGCGTAACATACGAGCAGTATTCATTAAACTAAGGCTTGGGGGCATAAAATACTCTCAGTATAGACAGAAGCCCTGCCTACGAATTTTAAGCATTCCGACCTCTTGAGCAGGCCATCTTGCCAACGAGTTGGATCTGGAGCACATGCCCTGCCCAAAACAGCACAATCCCTGCCACATGGGGGTTTCCGAAAATAGGGGACCTTAATATAGTACCCTACATAGTAGGATCCCTATTATAAGGACCCCAATTAAGGTACCCCTAATTTTCTGAAACTCCCACATCGGGCTCAAACTGCTTGAGATGGTACAGGTTCCCTACCAGGCCTGGCCTAAACATCCAGCATACGGCCTGAAACGGCTCAGATTCCATGCCCACCATGGCCTAAACTGCATGAAGCGTGGATCCATGCAATATGCATCGCCAAGGGTCCACTGATTTAACATCATCAGCATTATCGCTTTTCTCATGGAACAACCTGGATTCCGTCTCCACCCCAGGACGGGCCTACTTTAATTCCCATAGCGGGTTGTTATGTATCATCCCTCGCATGACTGCGGAATCACGTGGGCGCCTTTTTGCGTCCGCCCTGCCCCCCCCCCCTCTCCCCCCACTCCCCAAAACCTGAAAACAAAAACTCGCGATCCTCGCTGAACGAACGGTTACGTGAGTCATGACGACAAGCTGCATCTGCACGAACCTTTTGCACCCTCAATGAGGCAAGCTCGGATCGTTCAATGATGGCTGGACGTACACGTTCACCTCTTTGCGGACCTGAGAGGTCGACGCAAGAATGAGCTGTCTGTCATTCGCCTGCAATCTGGGTCGTAGCTTTGGGGACCTAGTCATAAATGACTACGGTTTAGGGTTTAGGGGTTTAGGGTTTAGGACTACATAGCTTTTACAGTAACCATAAGGAAAAGTCTGCAGTTTCCCAAAGTGCCACCCAGCGGATTGGCACGGCACAGGAGCTTCACTGCCCTCGTGGGTTTCGGCTTGCTTCACGATTGAGGCTTCAGCTCAATTTTGGCTTTTGGCCAGGGTCAGAATCGAATTCAATCTTAACTGTCCTGATAGTCCTTTAGTTTAAGGTTTCAGTAACTCTTGAGGTTCTTAACAATCAAGCCGCAAGATTGTTGCAACATGTTCTAAAGAGTTGCGGGTCACTTCCATGTCCAACCTCGCCGTGGACCTCACCCACACGCTTCTTTAAACCCTTCCCTACCCCAAAGGGTCCAAGTTATGGTATAGTATATACTTTGGGGGCCCAAAAACCTCCAAAGTACCTACCATATTACTACTTGGACCCTTTGGGTACGACGAAGAGCCTGAGGTCCCGTGCCGTGGACGCAGGTAGGGGATGATCCTTGTCCATCTTCACTACCTGGTCATCCTACCCTGAAGCCGCTGAATCCCTGAAGCGCCCAAGGCTCCGACAAAGAAATCCATCAAGCTTTTTCTTTTTGACTTTTTAGGGTTGAGGGTTTAGGGTTTACGGTTTTTTAAACCGCAAAACCCTGGAGGAAAAGGCTAAACCCCCCAAAACCGCCGACGCCTTGCATTCCTCCTCCCATTCTGCGCTCACACCCCTGCACTGCCTTCAAGAGCCATATGCCCAACGACTTCAACGATCACTCTCTGAAGTCCATTGAGGGTTTAGGGTTTAGGGTTCAGGCTCGGACAAGCCAGGCGGGAATCCACAGGTTTGAGTCGGCGTGATACTGGTACAAGAACTTCCGTCTAAGGGTTTAGGGTTCAGGGTTCCGTAGGCAGCCTTGGATAGGGAATTTGCATTTAAACTCGAGACCCTAAACCCTAAACCCTAAACCCTAAACCCTAAACCCTAAACCCTACACCCTAAAGGCTGAAGGGTATGCGGGGGTCGTGGAAGGGGCTCTATGACGTGCTCAAATCTCGAGGGGCATCTAGGGTTTAGGTTTTGAGGTTTAGGACAGGGTTTTTGGTTTAGGGTGTATGGGCTTGTTTAACTTTTTTGTGGATAACCGACACCCTAAACCCCAGGCCCACAAACTGGTGCCGCCTCTGGATATGGCAAAGACTGCCACCGAAAGCGCATCTTGAACTGCACGACAGATACCACCTAAGCTGGTTTGCATGGAACCTGGGCGCTGTACCTGAATCGGATAGTTCCGAGAGACCAGCAAACCAAAGGGTAACTCGCAAAGACCGACGTTGCATGAACCATAGCAGCATCGACTTGACTTCAGACAAGGGGCTGCCACGAAGCCACTGAGCAAAGCAAGGGCAGCCGGGATATAGCCGTCAGAGCGCTGCAGCAGCACTCCAGTCATCACGACCTAGTGCCCAAATCACCGAAAGGAGAACATAGAATCCTGTTGAGGGTTTCTGGACTTCCCTCAAGTGCAGTACATGGCACTACTTTGGGCTTCCACTTTGGGCTCAAGTGTGGGTAGCAGCGACAGTATCTCTAAATGTCTGAAACAACTGCATTGGCAAGATGTACTGGCACAAGTAGAAGCAGTGGTGGTAGAAGTGGCGGTATACCTCCCGCTGTCCCTTCTCCTCCTGCTGCTACTCCTGCTGCTACTGCTGCTGCTGCTACTACTACTACTACTACCACCACTACCACCTCCACTACTACTGCTACTACTGCTACTCCTACTACTGCTGCTAGCTGTTACCACTGCTGCCAAGGAGAAATCACGAAGT